GGGAGAGGGAGGAGAGGGAGAGGGAGAGGGAGAGGGAGAGGGAGAGGGAGAGGGAGAGAGAGAGGGAGAGGGAGAGGGAGGAGAGGGAGGAGAGAAATTTAACTTGTTCAGTGCCACCATGGATTGGCAAATCTTTTCTCTACCCACTGACTTGTGATTTCTATGTTACTGTCTATGTGAGTTTGTTTTTGACATTTATTTACTTGTTTATTTTGTGTGTAATCAGGTAACAGCTTGTAAGACACAGGACACAATTCTGTTCCACTATCAATTGGGCTCAGATGTTCAAATTCAGGTTGTCATGTGTGATGTGTGATGACAAGCACCTTTGTCCTCTGAGACACCTTCATGGCTCAAATGTCATTTTTTATTGAAAGCCTTTTAGTTTGTTTTATGACATCTCTTTTGACTCATTTTTTGATTGGTGGCATTTCTACTTTATTCCCTGCCTCCATTTTTTAAAAGAGAGGGCCTCACTATATAGCTTTGACTGCTCTTAAATTTTGACCAATCCTCCTGCCTCAGCTTCTCAAATGCTAGAATACCGGGGTTATAGAGGCATGCATCGTAGCCTACTAACTTTTATTCTTTATTTTTATTGTTTTTTCTCTTAGGGAGTTTCTTTTTTTTAATTCGTGTGTGATTTTTTTTAACTATAAATATTTTCAAAGAAATTTGAATTTGTCTTCTTTCCTTTCCTTATGCAGAACATTGACTAGAATTGAGGAAATTCTATAGTAGTTTGAGAATAAAGTTTTTACAAATAGCAGTATCCCTCTTCATAAACAAAGATGTATACCAAGATATAATGCTTTTCTTATATCACTTAGTGGTAGTTTATCATCTTATTCATAGGGACATAATTAGCTCTATTCATCTTAAATATGGAGCCAGGGGAGAAAATTTGAAACTAGTATGCTTTTTAGAACAAAAGAACAATTAGTACCCCAAAGAATGAAAAGCTCACAAAAAAATGGAAGTTTTATACCACACTATCTAGAAGGATGGCTGTCACTTTCTGTTGACCTCAAGGGGCTCAGGATGCCTTACCCCCTTGCTTCTGTCCTGGGGACCAAGGTAAGTGTTTCTCAGAGGCACAGTCTATATGGATATATGTAACATCCAACTCTGCAAGGTTTGGAGTATGCCTTTAATTTCTCCTTTGCCTTGATAACGTTTAGCAGAGATGCACGTCACTTTCTAATATATCAGACAGATAGTACAATGAAAATATAAACACAGGGGTTCTACAGTATTTCTGAGTCTGTCATTCACAAGCATGACTATTGTGCACATCACATAATGCTTTAATCTCATCAGCCACGAGGAAGCCAGGACAGTATGAGTGAGGACTGACTGTGAACTCCATGATGGAAGAGCTTTTGACTCTATGTGCGGCAATATTCCCAATGCCTTTGATGAGTACAGCACACAGTAAGAACCAAGATTAGGAAGAAATGCAAGCCCAGGGATCTCACCTCATTGCTTGGTCATTATTATTATTTATTTATTTTGGAGAATTCTAGATTTAAGCATTAAGAACGTATATTCCTTAGTTATTTTTCTTATTGATATGAGAAGCCCCGTTTTAAAATTACTTGAAATTCTGTGATTAAAGTCAAGGAAGAGTCTTTTAGTGCTTCCCCTTGAACTATAATATTTAATTAATTTCCAACTACCATTTTATTCCCTTATTATTTTAGGGCAGGACAAAAAATGACTTACCTCTTTTAAAAAGGCTTCCTACCTGGTCTCTACACTTCCTTACTTAAACTTTGGTATTCAATTTTACTTAGAGCGATGACAAAATACATTAATATGATCATGGACAGTCATAATATTGGGCATATAGCTGAAGTAAACTAAATCAATATGTTGAAGGGATATACTCCCAAGAATATTGAACATTATTTATAGCCAGATTATAGAGTCAAACTAAGTCCATAAATTTTATAATGGACAAAGAGCATGATATATATATATATATATATATATATATATATGTATATATATATATGAATATACACACATACATAATATGTATATACATAAATATATACACAAATATAAAATATACACATATGCTTATATTTTATACACATTTAATATTATACATTTATAAAATATATATTTACAATATATTTTATATATACACATGTATGTATTTTATAAATGTGTTTATATATTTATACCATGGAGTAGTATCCTGTAATTAAAATCATATTCTGTTATTTATGTCAACCTGAATGAGCCTGAAGGATATTAAGTTAATGAACCCAGGTTCTGAAGGACAAATATTTTATAATTTGATTCATATGGGTAATACACTATTGATTTCACAGACACCGAAATTAGAAATGTTGGGTACTAGTGTCTGTGGAGCACAGGCTGATATCCTCCAAAACACACATCTAACATCATTTCTAGACGGAGAGGCCTTACCTCACTCTTTTGTTCTTCTACTTATGGTACTTCTAGACCTGATTTTTCTTATGACATTTAATTGAAATACTATATACTCTTGCTTAGTTTACCACGTCTATTGTCTGCCAGTATGTAACCCCATTATTTCAGAATTGTTTGTAGTATTTATTGATGTATCTCTCATTCTCAGAATAGAAATATCTCAACACATATTTATCTAATGACAGGCATCCCTTTCCTTTCATAAAGAGTGAAAAGATGAACACACTATATATTGCCAATACAACTATAAAATAATAGTAGAGATGTATGTGGACTATGAATAGTCTACATGATAACTGCAATAGAAACAGTCCTTATAGGTATGAAGGGATGTCCTTGACCTTGTAGCTTTGCTTAGAAGCTATGTGTTGACTTTACTTCGCACAACTGCTAACCTTAATGCCTGCACACACAATAACATTTTTTAAGTCTAATGAATACGAGATTAAAGGCTGCCATTCCTAAAATAAGAACTGTTTGGCAACCTTACAAGTAAGTAGTTTTTAAAGTTTTCCACATGATTTATCCTTTCCTCTTCTATTATTACTTCATCATCATTGTGGTTGGAACCATCATGATCATAAGAATTACTCTCGTGAACAAAACCTTATCCTTAGAGCAGTTAGTTAACCAGAATCTTCTATAGAATTTGTTCAAATACCACCTTTCCAAAATCTTCTCTGATAATCCTACTTAAATTTCTAACCTCTTTTTCTGCTTTAAATTTTTGGTTCCTATGACAACTTCTAACATACAGCATATTTACTCTATTTCATTCTTTAGCCTATTACTAGACTCTAACAAGAACATAAATCCCACAAGAGTAAAGTGTTTTCTGGTGTTAACTGTTGAATCCTACCATATATTTTAAGACTCAGTATAAACACATACCACTGCTTGACACAAAGTAGTAGTTGCTTATTAAAGATTAATCAAGCAAGTGGTCTCACATTTCCATTGCATATTACATGCTTTCTTTCTTCCGGGCTGGAATATCAACATTATGTAAGAAAACACTGACATACAGAGAACATATTATATACATAGACACATACAGACTCCTATCAGCAAAGGCATGCATTAAGCGTGTACTTTACAGTAGCTTGATTTGTGATACATTCATATCTCTGCATCAGCAGCAGAAGAAGTCCCACCCAATTCTAGAAGCTAATCTAACAATAATCTAAATAGATTTTCAAGTTACAAATATTATTTTATTTCTTTAGAGAATTCAT